ACAGAATCCTTCCCCTTCGCGTCTCGACTCGCCGAGTCAGTCCATGACTCACCGAGTCTACAGATTTCTGAGTCCTGACCTGTCCAACTCACCGAGTCTCCACCCGACTCACTGATTCGAGTCTCAACTCGAAGGGTTTGGGGTTTCGCAACCTGACTCGCCGAGTACAAGGAAATCTTCATCTGACTCGACGAGCTGTTCATCCCACTCGTCGAGGTGCTCCTCACCTTCATGCTACTCGCCGAGTCCACTTCAAAGGACTCGCCGAGTCCATTCAAATCTCCTTACATGCAGATGACTTTTGAGTCATGCATGGACTCCAAACTGTAGATCTACCCTTCCCAAGCCTATTTCTCACGTAAATTTGTAAACTTTACATGTAGAGAAGGAGATCTAGGCAAAATACACCATGAACTAGGGTTTAAGGCAAAGAGGCTCCATAATCAACTCATGGGCTGCTACTTTATGCTTCTCAAGACCATAATATGCTTAGATCTGAAGTAGCAACTTTAGATCTGGCTTCTAACTTGAAAGAATAACATTATGGCTAAAAAGCCCCAACAACCACACATAGATCTAGGTGCAAAAAGGGTCCAAGAACTAGTTTATTACCTCCAAATGCTCAGAAATGAACTCACAATCCCAAATCTATAGTCCTTTCTTACTCCTCCAAGTTCCTTCTTCCTTCTCCAAGCTTTAATGCACCTTCCAAGGCAACAAATGGCTCAATCAATGGATATGGCAGCTAGGGTTTGATGTTCTGGGTGAAAGAGGCAGTAAAGGAACCTTAGGGGAGAGAATGAGGCGTTTAAATAGGCTCCAAGTCCCGATTTTAGGGTTTTCCTCGCACAAACCAGACTCGCCGAGTCCCCTTTCCCGACTCGCCGAGTCGGTTACTTACTCCTCGACCCGGATCCCGCTCGGACTCACCGATTTCATCCTTGGACTCGCTGAGTCGCCCTTTAAAATTAGGGTTTTCTTTCCCTTCTTGCCCTTCCAGACTTCGGGTGTTACAGCAGGGCCATTATGATGTTTCTGATCCAATCATTGAAATTGGATCCATCAAAAGTAACCCTCCTACAGATGTCTAGGACCGAGAGTGGGTTAAAGGAGTTGTTGTTGGAGGTTGAGCCGGGAGCATTGTTTGGGTCAGACATTTGAAAAAGAAGAAAGACGATTTTTTGATTAGATCAGAAATCCTTAATATAACACCCAAATGAAATATTAAGGCTAGGACCAAAAACAATAATTCACTATTCGAAAAAGGGATGTCGTAATCCAATTGTAAATTATTTGAAAGTAGGTAAATGACGATTTACCAATTCCACCATGAAAAATGAAATTTAAATAAATTAGGTTTTATTAAATGAAATTCGTAGATCTTTTGATATTCATTGAACTTTTCAATGACATGTTTAATCTCTATTATGGCCTTCAAGTTTGTGACTAGGAGACCAATGATCACAAACAAGGTGTGAATAACCTTGCAAATTAGCTTGGTACTCTCCATGTCATTTACCATGTAATTAATGTACCAGTTAACCACACACACTCCATTGATCAATGATAATTTACGAGCTACCCATTTCCACCCTTTATTAGTCCAAGTTAGTGTGCCAGTTAACCACACACGCTCTAACGACTTGGCAAAGTGCAATGCACAATTTCATGGATTAGCATCAAATTCACAATTTCCTAAAACAATTAAGATTGGGAATTTATAAAAGCATTTAGTTACTTTATATTTATCATTATACTTATTAATGAGAGAACTAATGTCCTATCCTACCTGTTTGGCTAACGACTTTCCACTAGTCAAGAGTGCGGTGGGTAAGAATGGATACTCAATGTCAGTCATTTTATAGGTTGCTTTCTTAAACACCCCTTATAGATCAGCTTCGTGAATACGGCCTACTAATGGTAAGATTGAGTTTTCTTATACATATATAATATTAAACTTGTAATTATATATATATATATATATATATATATATATATATATATATATATATATATATATAGTATAAGGGTGTACTTTAAACATTTCAAAATACTAGGGTTTTTAATCTGATTTAAAATTTTCGAAATTAATACGTTTTAATTTAAAATCTCAAATATTAAAAATCTTGATTTAATAATTATCCAAAATTAAACAATTAATTAAAATTATTAAATCTCATAGGATTATTCATTAAATAATTTTTTTTAACCTAACCCTTTATCACCTAGACTTCAAAATTTTAGGAAAGGATATCAATTATCCATTTAAACAATTAAAAGATAATACCTACCCAAAACCCTAGATTTTTGAAATCTAATCTTGGGAAAGGCATATTTCGAAAAATCTAGGGTTAGGAAACCTTAAAATTCGAAAGCATGGAGGCCAAATGAACGGGTTCAAAAACCCTAATCAAATTTCGAACCTAGGGTTCTGAATCCCTAATTTTGAAAAATCCAACCCCTAGGGTTTAGTTTCCATAAACCCTAATGGTCCAGTTCACACTATTGTATCAAATCTAATTGAAAATAACAACCAAAGGCTCTGATATCACTAATGAGTTTTTTATAAATAATCCTCTGTATGTATGAAACCTAGTTTGGATCTACGTTTTCTCTATTAGACATACAAAAAATGAACACAAATAGGAAACCCTAATATGCATCTAATATTTTAGAAAATCACATATGAATGATTAGATCACATACCTTTGTTGCTATATAGTAATAACAACTCAAACTTGAAGATCCTTGCTTTTGAGAACAAGTACCACAACTGTAGTACCTCTAATGGCTCACAAACACACTAGGGCAAGAAGGTGAATATGAGAGAGAGGAAAAGGAGTGACTTGCTCTAAAAATCGGCTCCTTCTAGGGTTTCACAAGGTGTGGCCGAATTCAAGAGCTAGGGGCTCTATTTATACTTGAGGTTAGCTAGGGTTTTTAGATGGAAACTCTAATTCTTTAGCATAGGGCCTAAGCAAGTCCTTGGACTCCCTTACCTTACGGCTCGGACGAAAATACCTAGAAACTTCTAGGGATTTTCAACCCTCCTTAATAAGGGTGATCCAATGGCCCAAAGCCTCAACTATCAAATAATTACAAAACAACCCTTGCACTTTCATTCTGTTCCTTTAATCCCAAAACTAATTCCAAATTAAATTTTGATTAAATACTTATTAACAATATGATTTCTAATTAATATATTATTCTTATAATATTAATAAATCATATTTATGCCACAATTTATCATTCTAAATAATAAATTCAACATCTCTCTCCAATGGTCATCATGTCTAGTTGCAAGTGTGAAGGCAACCCAAAATGATCATGCTACCATCAAATCAAATACATACCAATTACAGTTATAGGCTTAGATACCTAATCCAACACTTTTTTTGTTGTAATCTTGTTATAATTTGGTGAAACAAATAAGGTTTGCAAGATCTACTATTGTAGACAGGTTGTAGATAGGGAAAGTTGCCATTTCAAGAACACCTGAAATCACGTAACCCAAAATTGATCTAATTGAGAAAGAAGTGAAATCATTAGTTTCCGATGTTGGACGTTCATATTGTTTTCTAGTTGGTACATGTTCTTTACCTTCAATCAAATGCCAACATAATAACATGGAGTTGAAGATTTAGACAGAGAGATCCTAGGCACCACAACATCTAAATCTATGGAACCATTTACGTTATGTAAGGTGTTGTTTGTTTTTTCGAAGCGAAAATGTCTGAAGTCTGCGGACCCCCTCTACAATCCTCTGTAGCAGAAGAGAAGGACCAAACAGCTGCATCATGTAATAAAAAGTTTGTTTGTTTTTTAACATCTGCAGACTGCTGCAATAAGTTAAAGTAAAGTGTGAAGATGTTTGAAGTAGAGGATCAAGTGTTGTGCCATGCAGCACATGCGCAACAAATTTTAATTCAGAAGTCTTCTTAAAAACAAACAACTACGAAGGGTCAAGTGTTGTGTGTGCTGCGCGGCATAACAATAAGTGGTTAGAAGATGTCTTTTAGAAAAAACAAACAGCACCTAACAATCTTGCTCCTCCAGAGGGTGGTGATTTGTACACAACATTTTTAAGGCATACACAACAATTTATGCTTTACACGATTGTACTGTACAATTGTATGAAGCATAATTTGTTATGTATGACTAAAAAATGTTGTATACATATCATCACCCCTTCAGAAAGGTTTTTTTTTCTCTTTTTTTGCATTCTTGATACGAGATCTCAAAGTACATAAGTTAAGTGCTCCCAAAATCATGTCAGCAATGGCAGTTTGTCTATAGTATCGATTATCAAAATTGCTCTTCCGTTTGTTATCGTTTTACTTATTTTGTTAGGAATATAAGTCTGGTTTTAACCACGGGAGATATGTAAATAAGTTGCTTTCAAATTCATGACATACAATGAATATGTCATCTTTAATACAAGATTTGAATTTTTCGGTTTTCAAAAATCTAAATCCAAAACCAATGGTTCAAGTTCGCATTTGGTGTCGGTTTTTCGGATTTTGGATTTCGGTTTCAGTTTTGCATGATCAGCCTTAGATGTCACGTTCCAATATATATGTGCCATGTTAAATGAATATTGAACTTTTCAATCCTGAAAATGCATGTTTTAAGTTAAAAATAACTTTCTGCTGAACTTTTGTAGAGTTGATTAATATGATTTAAAAAAAATAGTAAAGTTGTATAAAAGTAAATTTTTATCATGTAACAATTGATTAAGATATATAGAGGTAACTGCATTATGAATTAGTTTAATTAATCATCTTCTACTTTGACACTATTATCTCTTACAGAATAGATAAATATAAGTTGCTAGTTGCCACATAAGAACAAAAGTTAAATGAATAAGACGAGAGAAAATCGTTTGGTATCACTGGAAAACCGTTGACGGAATCTTAATAGTTCAAGTTGATGAATTTTTTTATGTTTCATATTTATTCATATATACTACTTATAGATACATGGCTAAAAGGGCAACGAAAATGGAAATAATCACCCAAGAAATCGTCAAACCTTCATCTCCAACCCCCAATTATCTCAAAACTTTTAAGCTTTCGTTGCTCGATCAACTCACCTTGCATTCCTATATTCCAATCTTGCTTTTATATGAATCTGGAAGCTTAACCAATACTGATGTTCTGAAACAAACGTTATCTGAAACGCTAACAAAGTACTACCCTTTTGCAGGTAGGCTTAGAAAAGATGGTATCACTGTTGATTGTGGTGATCAGGGAGTCGTTTTTGTGGAAGCAAAAATTTCGGGTTGTGGGGTAGCCGATTTCCTTCAAAACCCCATGTACGAGACCCAAAAGTTATTGTTTCCTGAAGGTTTCTTATGGAAGGGATCATGCATAGATCAGAGTTTTCTTGCAGCTCAAATAACATCTTTTGAAGGTGGTGGAACTGCGGTTACTGTTTCCATATCGCATAAGGTCGCAGACGGAACCACGATTGCTACTTTTCTAAGTGACTGGGCTTCCATGGCACGAGGCGAAGTGAGACCACTGCCGATGATACTTGCTAGATCCATTCCTTCTTCAGATCTTGGATACACAGTGCCTGAAATCATGTTGGACAATAGTACGTCATGTGTCACAAAAAGATACGTTTTTGATGCCAAAAAGATCGCCGGATTAAAAAACTCTGTGATGGGATTGGTGGAAAACCCCACAAAGGTCCAAGTCGTGACAGCGTATCTTTACAAATGCGCCATTGCTGCTTCACTGGAGAAAACGGGTTATTTTAAAAAATCAACATTGATTCAGCTGGTTAACATGCGACCACGAATGATGCCACAGTTGCCGGAAAATTCTATCGGAAACTTCAGTTGGTACTTCACAATATCAAACAGTGATCAAAACGAAAGAAGTTTAAGCAGTTTGGTGCTTGATTTGAAGGAAGGGATCAAAGAAGTTTGCAATGGTGGAGATCATCTTGATTTGAGTGATTGGTTGATGAATGTTAGCGAGTATGCAGGTAGTGTGAAGCAGTTGTTTGATGATCTTGATGTGTACAGGTGTACCAGTTTGTGCAGAAGACCTTTTTACAAGATGGATTTCGGATGGGGATACCCGAAATGGGTGACTATGGCAGATGTGCATGTGAAGAACACATTCGTGTTGTTTGATACACCAGATGGAGATGGAATTGAAGCCATGGTGAGTCTTGAAAATGATGACATGAGACTATTTCAATGCAATCAATATCTCCTACCTTGATTTGCTTCTATTCTTTGAATCAAGATCTCTTATTCTACAAAATAGTTAATGTTTGATTGTATACAGTTGTCGACTTGTCGTATTTCTAGTTTTGATCCTGCAGAGTATGATGACTTGTATGTTGGGCCCTTTGAATTAACGGATCGGCCTGGGTATGATGACTTTTATGTTGTATGAAGTGTATCTTGTATTGTATGTATTAACTTTTTGTGATGATAGTGGATATATAAGTCTTGTAACGTGGCATGATCACGTGTTATAATTATTTTTAAATACATGAACCTTTCAATTATAAGTTGTTGGTTGTAGAGCATTAAATTTATGGTTCATATACGTATAATTGCAAAAATACCAACATTACAGGGGTATATCTCCATATATTATATCTTTATCACAAAATAGTTATTCTTGTAAAAAAAATGTTGGTGATTTGTTTCACTAATGCGTTTTAAGTATAATGAGATTACTTTTGTTGATCAAAAGTGATCTTGATAAATATTAAACAAGTAAGGAAGGTGTGGGAGTGCACACTTGTTTAAGTTTATTCAAGATTAAAAGTAGATTGTCATTTAGGGGCGAAGCCCCTGAATGAACGGGGGTCCGGGGGCAGCACCCCTGGGAGCGGGGTCCAAGGGGCAGCAGCCCCTACGGGGTCCAAGAGGAGTATTGAAAATGCATCAGAAATCCAAATTTAGAATATTTGATCCGTTTTTGACTTTGTATTAATTCTTATAGAAAACCCGGATTTATGACAGTTTGTTGACTGTTACCAAACTGTTTTATGGCAGTTTTGACAGATTTCAGACAATGAAAGTATTTAACCGATTTTGGTAAGTTTTTTCTGGTAATTACGAAAATTCATACACTCATTCTCTGTTCTTTTCTCTTCTGAGTCTTATCCAATCAAAGATTAGGGAGTACCACCCAATACTTTGATTTGATAGTGAAATCACAATTCTCAGAATTTCCTAGGCTATTTTATCCCTATTATCTTACAAAAATCAAAGTGTTGTGATCATGGCAAATGGTGATTCTGTAAAGGAAATGACAAGTAAGTTTGAAAAACTGAACAAGTTTGAAGGGCAAGATTTTCGTAGATGGCAGAAGAAGATGAAGTTTCTCCTTACCACTCTGAAAGTGGTGTATGTTCTAAGTACACCCATTCCAGTCTTACCAGAATCTGTTGAAGATGAACCTTTAGAGGCAACAAGAAGAAGATCAAAGTGGGAAAATGATGACTATATATGTCGTGGTCATATTCTCAATGGTATGTCTGACTCTCTTTTTGACATTTATCAAAATTTCGGATCTGCAAAAGAACTGTGGGATTCTCTTGAATCCAAGTACATGGCTGAAGATGCTTCTAGTAAGAAGTTTCTTGTTAGTAACTTTAGACGGTTACAAGATGATTGACTCCAGACCTATTATGGAACAATTCCATGAAATGTTGAGGATTCTGAGACAGTTTGCTCAACACAATTTAAAAATGGATGAAGCCATTTCTGTGGCTGTGATAATTGACAAACTGCCCCCTTCCTGGAAGGATTTTAAACACAATCTGAAACATAACAAAGAGGAATTGACTTTGACTCAACTTGGAAGCCATTTAAGGATTGAAGAGTCCATAAGGACTCAAGAACTTGATAACAATCCTAAAGGCAAGAACCAAGTTGGTTCCTCTTCTGTGAACATGGTGGAAGGAGAAAGTTCAAAGAATCCCAAGAAGTCTAATGGAAAAAGGAAGTTTAAAGGAAAGGATGACAAGTCTTCCAACAAAAAGGCTAAGTTGGTTTGTTAGAATTGTAACAAACCGGGTCACTTCAAGAAAGATTGTCGTCTTCGCAAAGTGAACAAGGATGGTGTTGGACCAAGTGGATCCAAGGATCCAGAAAAGCAACAAGGTCAGATTTCTATTTTCATGCAGAATCCTAAATATATTCAGAATTATATTTCTGTGATTTCTGAAGCATTTTATGTGCAGGATGATAAAGTTGCATGGTGGGTTGATTCGGGAGCAACAAGTCATGTTTGCAAAGATCTATATTGGTTCAAGAACTTTCAACCAATTGAAGATGGATCTGTTGTGAAGATGGGAAATGTTGCAACTGAACCAATCAAGGGCATAGGATCTGTTTTACTTACTTTTACTTCTGGGAAATGTTTGTGTTTGAACAATGTTTTATATGTTCCAGGGATTCGTAAGAATCTCGTATCTGAAATTGTATTAAATAATTGTGGTTACCAACAAGTGTTAGAAAGTGACAAGTATATCTTGTCAAGACATGGTTCTTTTATGGGATTTGGATATATATATATATATATATATATATATATATATATATATATATATATATATATATATATATGTAATGGAATGATTAGGCTTAATATTAATTATTCTTCTAGTGATAATTCTATTTGCATGGCTTCTAGTAATAGTAACAATAATTTTCATAAATTTGAATTATGGCATGCTAGATTAGGACCATTCATTACAAGAGATTAAAAGACATGTCTAAAATGAGTTTAATTCCTGCTTTTGATATGAAAAATAATGAAAAATGTAAAACACGCATGCTAACTAAAATCACTAGACAACCTTTCAAAGATGTTGTTAGGGAAAGCAAGGTGTTGGATCTTATACATAGTGATTTATGTGATTTCCATGCAACACCTTCCCTTGGAAACAAGAAGTATGTTGTTACTTTTATTGATGATGCATCTAGATATTGTTATATCTATTTGCTACATTCTAAGGATGAAGCACTTGATAAATTTAAATTTTATAAACAACAAGTTGAGCTTCATAAAAATGAATTAATAAAAGTATTGCGTACTGATAGAGGTGGTGAGTATTATGATCCAAATTATTTTGAATCAACTGGAATAATACATCAAACCACAGCTTCATATACACTACAACAAAATGGTGTAGCTGAAAGGAAGAATAGGACTTTGAAAGAAATGGTAAATTCCATGTTGTCATATTCTGGTTTAAGTGAAGGGTTCGGGGTGAGGCAATGTTAACTGCATGTTACATCTTGAATAGAACTCCAAATAAAAGGAGTAAGAATACTCCTTATGAACTTTGGTGTAAAAAGGTACTAAATTTGAGTTATCTCAAAGTTTGGGGTTGTAGAGCAGTTGTAAGGCTTACTGAACCCAAAAGGAAAACATTGGGTGAGAGAGGTATAGATTGTATCTTTATTGGATATGCTGAGCATTCCAAAGCATGTAGATTCTATGTTTTAGAATCTAATGACTTTGTGTCTATAAACACAGTAATAGAGTCAAGAGATGCTATCTTTGATGAAGAAAGATTTACATCTATACCTAGACCAAGGGACATGATTCATCAATCTTCCAGCAAGAGTACTACTCAATCTGAAGATGTTTCTGGTGGTGCAAGCTCTGTACCTGAACTTAGGAAAAGCACCAGAGCTAGAAAAGCTTAAGTCTTTTGGATTTGATTTTCAACTATATTTAGTTGAAGGAACAAGAAATGAGACTATTTCTCAACATCAATATTGTTTTAATATTAAAGAGGATTTAAAGACTTTCAGTGAAGCTATGGCTTCTAGGGATGTTCATTTCTGGAAAGAGGCAATTCATGATGAGATTGATTCTATCATGCATAACAATACTTGGGTTTTGACTGATTTACCTCCTGGTTGCAAGGCATTAGGATGTAAGTGGATCCTCAAAAGGAAAATGAAGATGGACGGCACAATTGATATGTATAAAGCCAGATTAGTTATCCAAGGCTTTAGACAAAAGGAAGGCATTGATTTCTTTGATACTTATGCTCCTGTTGCCAGAATTTCTACTATTAGATTATTATTAGCTCTTGCAGCTATACATCATCTTGTGATTCACCAAATGGATGTGAAAACTGCATTCTTGAATGGTAACTTGGATGAGGAAATATACATGAAACAACCTGAAGGGTTTGCGATGCCTGGAAATGAACACAAAGTGTGCAAGTTGAAGAAATCATTATATGGTTTGAGACAAGCACCAAAACAATGGCATCAAAAGTTTGATGATGTTGTCTTGTCTAATGGTTTTGCATTAAACCAAGCTGACAAGTGTGTATATAGCAAATTTGATACTTCTGGTAAAGGATTCATGATTTGTTTATATGTAGATGATATGTTGATTTTTGTACTGATTTAGAAGAAGTTGATAAAACCAAGAAATTCTTATCATCTAGTTTTGATATGAAAGACATGGGGGAGGCTGAGGTAATTCTTGGTATAAGAATTAGAAAAGGAAACAATGGGATTTCAATTTCTCAATCACATTATATTGAGAAGATATTGAAAAATTTTAACTTTGAGAATTGTTCTCCTGTTAGCACTCCTATAGATCCTAGTCTTATGCTTCTACCTAATAAAGGATCTCTAGTGTCTCAACTTGAATACTTAAGGGCTATTGGTTGTCTAATGTATGCCATGATTAGTACTAGGCCTGATATAGCATATGCTGTGGGAAGGCTTAGTAGATATACTAGTAATCCTAGTTCACATCATTGGCAAGCTGTGAGTAGAGTATTCAAGTACTTGAAAGGGACCATGAATTGTGGTTTAACTTATAATGGATATCCTTCTGTTTTGGAAGGTTATTCAGATGCCAGCTGGATTAACAACTTAGAGGATACTCCTCTACAAGTGGTTGGGTGTTTCTTCTTGGAGGAGGTACCATTTCTTGGGCGTATAAGAAACAGACTTGTATTACTAACTCAACCATGGAGTCTGAGTTTGTTGCATTGTCTGCTGCTGGTAAAGAAGCTGAGTGGCTAAGGAATTTGATTTATGAAATTCCATTATGGCCCAAACCGATATCTACCATTTCTATTAGATGTGATAGTGCAGCAACCTTGGCTAAGGCTTATAGTCAAGTGTATAATGGAAAATCTAGACATTTAGGTGTTAGACATAGCATGATTCATGAGCTCATCATGACTGGTGTGATATCTGTGGAGTTTGTAAGAACTCAGT